CCCTGCTGGGGGGGATTCAAAGGGGGCTGGACTGAAATAGGCCCCCCAGGGGTGGAGAAGGCCCCAGGGAGCTTGGGCAGGGCTAGTAAGGGCTGGTGGTGCCCTCATGGCCCTGAGAGCATCCCACTACAATATTTTAGTTATTAGCATATTGTTATTATATAAAAGCTCTATGTAACTGTAAGAATGTTCTTACTATGTTGTTTTTTGTTATCTACAGTATAATTCTTGAAATGGCATCACAAATCACTTTCTACCTCTTTTCTGAAGACCACATTTACATAGCAGTGCAGAAATAGAAAGTTCAACTGTTCTGTTAATGAGAAGGTGTATATATAGCCTATTACACTTGTTTTTTTTTAAGAAACTGTTAGTGAATTAGCAACATCAAAGACATTTCTGTGTCAATGTGTCATACATCAGATACAAAGGATTATACCTCAGTACAGAATTTAAATCAGGAGAATTTATATTTGAGGTGAAAAGTTCATACTCTGATACATGTGATTTATTAAGGATGGGGAAAACTACAGAAAGTTGCATTCCCCAAATAAAATCTTTTGCCTTCAGATGTTTTCTTTTAAAAGGTTTAGCTTAAAAAAAAATAGACCTTTTCAAGACATGAGATTCAGTATTCTATTTTGCATAGCTGAAAAATGTTCCCTATTAAGATAATGAGTTCAGAAACAATTTCCAGAAAAAATAAAACTGACATAATCTCACTATCTGAAATTCTTTGGTTTTTCATGTGTTTGCAAAGCAAGCTTTTCATTGTCCTGTAAATGGGCAGTATAGCTTTAGGAAAGCAACTGTCCACTAAGAACTGGCTGCCATTGGTGTCCATGAATACTTAAAAAAAAATCACATGAACAATATGACTTTTTCAACTTAAAGATTTTTCGCTGGCTTTGCAGTGTACGTGAAACTGTTCCTGTAAATGCTTAACAAATACAGGTAATCTCAGAGCAAATTTATATAGCACACTAATTGCTATGCTTAATTCATCACACATTTTTGCAGTTCAAGTTAGAATTATAAGGAGTGGGAAAGAAGCCATGGTTGTATGTATACTATGCAAAATGAAGAAACAAGAGAGCAAGATCTGAATTTCTATGAGAGAAAGGGAGAGGAAAAAGGTCGCCTCTCAAGTTGCAAATTTTTTGCATGTGCTCTTTATGGAGGATGAGTTCATAACATAGATTTCAGATTGTAGTATTGGATTTTAGGGACTACTTTGCTCCAAGACCAAATAGTACTGGTAATCTGAAAGTGGTCTAAGTTTCCTGGACCTCAGGAAACTCCCTGTTCAAGCGTTCCATACCACAAGTTCAGGCAGCAAGAATAGCTTCTAAACTCTGGGGCTGCAAGTGTGGCATGGCCTTTTCCAGGGGTAGAAAGCTTGGGATGGGCAAAAGAGACCTGCCTTTTTATTTCTTTTCCTCATGCATTCAAATTAACTCAGTGTCAAGAAATAATATTAGGTGATGAAGAACTTCAAGGACATTCCTTGGAGGTGTTCATGATAACTTTTACACTGCATGTATATGATTACATTTAAATATGGAGCATGTCCGTTCCTGATATTCATAACACTGAGCTACAGAAATACATGGATCTCATTTTATAGCATTACATTACTTTATCACATTTAAGGGAAAAATAGCACTACATTACTTTATTAAGTGTAAGGGAAAAATAGCACTACATTGCTTTATTACATGTAAGGGAAAATGTTCTTTATGTTCACCTCTAAATGGACGATCTGATATACAGCTGTATAATGTCAGCAACAGAAGTAATAGATCTTTGCCCCTTTTTTTATGTGTGGTTTTTTGTCAGATATAACCTAAAGCGTTTTTCATTAAGTAAATATAAAAAAAAATATTTACTAATGTACCAGTCTAGGGTTTTTTTATACTTTATCAGCTGTCGGGTACATAAGCCTAGAAAATTATATCAAGAAAGTAACTCTGCCTGTTCCTAGGCTTGTCTGACTTCAGAACAAATCTTCTTTACTTCCCGGTACTTGCACAGTATTTGGCGAGCTTAATCATCCAGGGTTTTTTTCTTCTATTCTTTGTGTTTATATATTCATCAAAACTTTTTTTTAATTTCCAATTTACAGGAAAACAGTGTGATAACTTACTTCTATCTCCCTTCTGAATGCAAAGTATTTTGTGGTTTATCAAGTCGTTAAATTGCAGGCTGAAGTTCACATCAAAAGAGTAGCTGATCTGGTGATCCAGAGAGAAAATTATCCAACACTTTTATGCTGTAGATATATTTGTAGTCATATGACTGACACTCATCTCATTTTATACGCATTTTACAGATCTATAATTCCACTGATTTCAGCTAAGTCTTCTCTGAATTGCTAGCTCCTCTCAGTAGACTACCTTTGAATGCCTTGAACCTCTGTCTTTAGGCTCTTCCTGTGGAAAATAAAAGTGCAGGTAAACAGTGTAGATAAAATGCTGGACTGCGTAAATTGATAGGAGTTTTGCCACCAGGTTTTCTTTGGTCCAGAATTTAAGCTTGCAGCTCTATATTTGACATCCAGGAACTAAGGAATATAGATTTAAGTTCTCAACTTCTTCATCCCTCTTTTTATCTTTTAAATAAGACAAGGAAAGAAGAAGAAAGAAGGCTTGGCTCACCTAATCTTTCATTATCCTGTACTTGAGAATTTGGTACCCAAGGTCTTCATTTACAATTAGAGCCTAAGCATAAGAAACCTGAGAGGCAGATTTAGCCTAAGAATCGTGTTAAGTATTTTCCTAAGGTGAAAGGAAAGAAACCTTCAGATCAGACTATGAACAGTGTTTGGAAATGTAAGTTACCAAATCCTTAGCTGAGCAGGCAAAAATATACATGGCAGTACCCTCCTTGCTCAGGCTGAGATTATTCTAACTGAGAAGACTCTTCTCCAAATACTGACTAAGCAAAAGTGAAAAGGACTCCTTAAAAATATACTTGGCTGATGCATCTGTCTATCAGGTCAACCTCCTTTCCCAGAGCAGCAGTTGCCTGAACTAATGATCTTCAAAGGACCATAAGGAAAGTGGAAATCAAATCAAGTGTTGAGAAAAAGGTCCTTGGCAGCTGCTTTTGTTGCCAGAAGCTCCCTTGATTACATCACATGTTTAGCTCAAACCAGTCACATTGAACACAGTGTCTCACTGATAATTATAGCTTTTTGTCTAGAAAGATGGACAAGCCAAACAACTTTCATCTGCCAGATTCTGTGATGCAGAGATAATTGGCAGGATATTAGAGAGGTCATGGCATGGTCCAGTGAGAGATGAAACACACCTGAACTCTGAGAAATTAACTCTCAATAATTTCAGACTTCCCAGGGAACTGAGTATCATTTAAAGTTAATAACCATAGTGAAAACAACTGGGAAGAGTGTTTCTGGCAGAGGAAAGCCCTGAATTCAAAGGAAAGGATTGTAAGGTATAGAAAATTTAAGTGCAAACATAATGCATCATTCAGGTAAAAATAAATCTTTATATATGGCTCCTTAACTCCTTTCCTTCTCTTAAAAAACTTTCAAGAATAAGATCCAATATATTAAGTGACATACAGACACTCACACAAGAAGTCTATCTAACCTAATATTCTCAAACCAGGAATGACCAACAATGGATGCCCAGGGAAGAATCTAAGAATAAAATGAGTATATAATAATTTTCATAAATATTTTCCTAAACTTTAGTTAATTCTGCCTAAGGCAGTTCCCCATCTGTTTCTGTCCGGTGTCTTACTGGTGTTGGATAAACTTACCTAAGCCTAGGTAAGTGCTAGCAAACTGCCAGAAGCATTAATGTACCCATGATGTCACTGCAAGGCTCAGCAGAAAAACAGTGTGGTATCAGGTGATTCCAGGGAGGAAATTGCCTTTCTGCAGCAGCAGCCACCACCATCCTAATTTTCCCTCCTCTCATGCACTCACCCCCCTCCGATGGGAGCATGATCAGTAAGGTCAATTTTTTCTTAAGGCTGAGTTTCTCTTGGCTCTCTGTTGAAGCTCTTCCCCTTTCTTGTGCATCTGTCCTTCCCCTGGAGGAGTGGACCTGGCTCCTTGTTCTTCAAGAAGCAAAACTCAATTCTGTCTTAATTTCTGAGATTCATTAGGCTGGCTTTGGACACAGGATATGCCTGCACATATATATGTGAACATTCCTCAAAAGCTTAAACCTAATAGGATGCTGATAGCAATGCAGTCATGCTGCAAACTGACTCCAAAAATGTTAAGACTGTACTTAATATCATACAGTGTTTGTTACCGTGCTACATCAGCTTGATCACTAATAGTACCTGTCAGCCGCTATTGGCGGTGGATCAGGGTTGTCTGTTATGTGACCTCACCTTCTAGTGCTCTTTGCTTATTGAGAATAATCATAGAATCATAGAATCGTTATGGTTGGAAGAGACTTCAAAGATCATCAAGTCCAACCGTATACCCAACACTGCCATGCTCGCTAAACCCACTAAACCATGTCTCGAAGCGCCACATCTAATGATACCTTTTACCTTCAAAGTAATGCATGGCTGATGGCTGTGTTTGTAAGGTTTTAGTAAATGCAATCCAAATACTATAGGTTGTGCAGATTAATAGAATAATGTAGTATAGTGTTGGTTAGGTAGTTAGGAAAGGGTATGTTAGCAACGTATGGAAAATGTTAACAAAACAGGTTTGCATTAAATCTTTTTGAATTTGTAAGTTTGTAATATCCTCAGGAAATAAAGCCCAATTTATAAAAATTAAGTTCAAATCTAAAGCAGGGATTCTATGCACAAAGGTTTTAAACTTAAAATAGTATTCTTGTTATTCTTTTATACAAAAATTTGGCTTGTAAAATACTTTATGAAATCATTGAAAAGGATATTATATTTGACACAACTCCCCTCTCAGCATGCATGTTTATATTTAGTTCTAACTTAATTCTACCTCAATTTTTTGTTCTCTCATTTATTGTCTTATACATGTTTCCCAGGATAGCCCACTGGTCTTACAGTCTGACAGAAATGTAACAGTGAATGCAAGAAATCACATGGGACAGTTAACTGGACAACTGACAGTAGGTGAGTGTTCTTTATTGACTGTTATATGTATCAGTTTAGCTTTATGAGTAGGTTTCATTATCATTGAAGATAAAATATTGCTGAATAGTCAGGAAAAATATCTTATTGCCATACTCAAACAAAAAACAATGCATACAACGGGTCATAAGAGCATGATTCAGCGTTATCCGAAGGCAGAGAAAGTAGAAATGCCTCAAAATGTTTAAAACAGCTTAATGAAAAATGATTATTTTTGAGATAGCTGTAACAAAACAAACTCAAAAAAACCTCAGCAAAACATGTTTCAACAACAATTTCAGTGGGAAAATAGCCATCATTTTCTTACAAGTTCTGTCAGTCTTCCATTACTTCAGTGGGAATTGATTTGTCCCCATCACTCTTGCAATATATTTGTATCAGCGTACATTGAAAACAGTTGGAGTAACAGAATGTAAAAAACCAGAACAAAACAAAAATTCAAATGCTTTCCTAGCCACTACAAAGTTTAAATGGAACGTGATCATACTGCCAATCATTCATTAAAATGGTGTCAGATGTTTTGGAAAGTATAAAATATAGCAGATCAAAGTTCCAAATGAAATGGAAATAAAAAACCCTCTACCTACCTGTTCCACTTTTCAGGTATTTTTCCCTGCTTTTATTAAGTTTACCATGTTACTGCGTTTTTAACACAAATCGTACTTACTGTGTTAGCAAATATGAAGTAATATTTTTTTATATTTTCAGTACTAGAACAGTACTGAAGATGTTCACTGCTTTTTAAGAATATTGGCCAAAAAATTCAAGGCAGAGTAATGCACTAGATCTGTTGGAAAACAATATATATTGACTGGGAATGGGATGAAAAACATACAAAAATATATGTGTAAGATACTAAGATGTAGACATAAATTTGAGGAGACACCTCTTAGACTCCACATCTTTTCATTTTTTTCAATTTACTTCTGGATTAAGCCGTGTTTTCTCCACTCTTTTTCCTCATGTGCCGAGGTTATGCTCACAAATAGTTTTAAGTTAAACTCTAGTTGTAATCTAGACTCGTGGCTAGTGGCTTCAAGTTGTAAAAAATCTTTGGCAAGTGCATGCAGAGTGACACCATCTGCGCTGATTTCCCTGAATGACCACATCAAATGAGTGTGCAAAGGTAACCAGGCTTGCTAGCAGATACAGATGACGAAAATTAAGCTAACACCTGTTCTAGCCATATTGTACTTGCCCAGTGTGTTTATGGAACACTGTTCTGTTTCATCTAGTAGCTGTATTATAGAAACCTTCCACTTCAGCTGGTAATTGCTAAAAGGTGAGTTGCCCGTGGCAAACATTCACATTGGCTGAAATAGATATGATATTTTGATTGCTGACACCGTTCCTGCTAAGTGAATCCAGCACTGAGAATATATGTGAGTGTATTGAGACTGACCTACTTAAAGGCATCACACTAGAGGTTAATATTCTAAAAGCATAAAGGCCTGAAAAAAACCTTGTTCTTATGTTACTATCATTAGAGTGAACACCTGTAAGCTTCTTGTGCAGCTGGTGCAGCATGTCTGGAGAGTGGAAGTTTGCTAAATTGCAATGTTGTATTTACATTATTTCTTATTCTTTATCTTCCTTTTCTTTTTCATAATGGCTATATGGCCTTTATTCTTTCTTATATTAATATGAAAATCTGCTTCTTTATTTTTTATAAATTCCTCATACAGTATTGAATGCATATTAAAATATTCCTTATTTTCTTATTTAATATTTCTTACTTTGTAGACACACTCATAACTACCATACAATCAGTAAAATCCTGAATATTCTACTACTGCAAATCAAAGAAATTGACAGCACCTAAAATTCAAAATGTATTATTCCTGCTCTCCCTTCTAAAAATGTTTATTGTGTAAGGTAGAGTGGAGAAAAACAATTTTTTTTTAAATTTTTGCCTAGGTAAAAACGTGGAAACATCTGCTGAAAGGAGGGGAGGGGACTTTTCTATACCAGGTTTGCTAGCATCAGAACGTTTGTTTTTCCTATTAACTTTAAATATGATCTGGAAAGTCCCTGCCTTCTTCAGAAGTGCTCTTTGTCCCTTCAGTGGTGCTGCATGCTGAAGCAGCTCTGTGTGTGTCTGCCCAGTGAAAAGGATGAAAATAAACAGTGGAGGAAGCAGTGAGGAGAAATATTTTTAAATTATATAAAAAGTAAATTATTATGCCTTGGGAAAAAATTATCTAGTTAAAAACTTTGAAATGTTCTTATCTGTTAATTTCATTACCGAGTTGAATAATAATAATTTTTAAAAAAGACTACATGTTCATATGCATGGCAGGAGCATTCTGAAAAGAATAGTGCCCGTGCATTCAGGTGTATGATAATGCACTTCCTATACATGTGATATCATTGGCATTTTATCTGTATTTCATAGGACATGAGTGTTGTTATAAGGCAATAAATAGGCTGGTCTCTTGTCTTTGACGTTCAAATTGCTGATCATGTCAAATTTAGGACAATTAAAAATTCTTTCTGTGATATTTGGAATTGGGCCATGCAAGACTAAGACAGCCTTAAGAGCATCTAATTAAAACTGTAGCTGGAAGATAGATTTTGGTAAAGAAGTGAGGGTGGGGCTGGGAGGAAGAAGGCTATATGATCACCCAGGGAGATGGAAAAACTTCAGTGAAACTCTCGGTAACAGGTATTCAGTTCTGTGAGTGACCATGGAAGATTGGTGGCTGCATGTTTGAATGCTGTAAAGTCAAGTCATGGCTCCAGGTCTTACAATACCAAGGGTGCATCCATTATTACAGTACAATTTATTTATACTGACACTGAAAACTGTATGGAGAGAAAGTCACAGGTGTAGCAATGCTTTCTGTTGGGATCTATACCAACTGAGCTAGAAATGTTGGTTTGTGCTCCTGTCTATTCATGACATATGGTCAGGAAACTGCCAAGTTTGTGTCTGGATCTCCAAAAGGACTCCACAGCCTTCAGTTTTTAGACATGCCATTTTAAGACCAACAGTGCAGATGTAGCGCCGACGTGAAGTGTGTCTACAGAATAAAGGTGTAAAGATGACCATCCATTGATTTTTTGCATCTAAGCTGGATAAGGACAAGTAATCACATCTCTGACCTCCCAGCCCTTACTTAGCAATACCCTTTGCATTATGCATTCTAGTGAATTACCCTGACACAACCTTTTCTCTGTGTTTAGTCAATGTTTGCATAGTTTAAAGCTATATGGAAAAAGATCTACTTCTTTTCTGCCAGTCTTAGAAATGCACAATAGTTGCTCACCTCAAACGAGAAGTCTGTTGTCTCTGTGCTGTCTGCACGGATCATGTATATCTCTACCTGTTTTTCAGTGGAGGACATTAAGCTGACAAGTGCTAAAGGGGTCAAAATTAAATATGGCTGAAAGGAGACATTTGAAACCCACATGTGCACTTACCATAACTTCATCTTCAGATTTGATTATTACTTTGCCAACTTTGTTGTTTTTTCATGAGGTTTGGGTTTTTTAAATTTTTTTTTTTCTTGCTGCAGTGATTGCTTCTGACAGGTATTTCTGCTATTGCTCGACCCTTTTCCATTCATAGATACCTGGGGATATCTCAAATGCGCAAAAATGTGCACTTCATTTTTGCTAAGCTTTGGGCCCTTTAAGACAGAATCATAACTCTCATAGAGGTCCAGAGCTGTGCAAGTTGCAGCTTTAGAGAGCTCCTGAACCTGTAGCTCTGCTCACTGAGATCTCTAAAGCCATGAAATTGAAATTACGAATTTATTTGAATACCATGAAATTATTTGAATACCAATGAAAGTTATATCACAGTTTTGCAATTACTTTTTGAAAATAGCAGGCAGATGTATAATTTTCAATTACAGCACTGGTAAAGACTGATAACAGTACTAAAAGATATAGCTATTCAAATAACTTGTCAAACTTGATGACAGTTTCCATCCATTTACCACAAAATTTGTATTGTGTATTCAAGATTTTTTTCCTTAAAAATGTGCTTGCTTACTTGCTGTATTCCACCAAGAGTACATGCGGTATTGTGCAAAACCCATTGGACATTAGAAACTGCAGGTATGTAACCTTATGGGAGTGGAAATAGTCCCCTTCATCATTCTCACATGTGCCAATTGCCTGTGCCTATATCTACCGATACCCTACCAGGTAACACATCCTGCTACCCCTTCAATTCGGAAGTGATCAAGTGATTGCTTTTAGAATTACCTGTGGCAGAACTTGTAATAATACATGTGCACACATTGCTCTAACTCTTTGATATCTATTGTCAGACATTGACTTATTTAAGATTATTATGAACTTGAACTAAGTATCTGTTAAGGCAATGGAAGTACTTACATGCTTAAGTAACAATAGATGAGAAATGTTTCCATATTTTTTATTCTTATTTGCATATATAGTAGCCTCAAAGGTAAGATCTTTTCTCCTAAGTGTTGCAGGAAGAGGGTAGTTTCAGAGCAGTGATACACAGATACCCTTTCCTCGCAATACGAAAAGGGAACAAAAGGGCTAACTCCTCTCTTACCTGTGTGGTTGTTCTTGTATCTTAGATAGTAGGGTGCTGGGGAGAGCAGGGCTGATGTTGTTTTACGATCCCTCATTAGCTGCTTCAATGCTTCAACTGGGCAAATATGGATCAGAACTTCATTGTCAGGAAGACGTAAAATAAAGCTCTTCTGCTTTCCCTTACAGGGACGTTTACCTACCTGTAGTCCAAAAACTACAGTGAAATTTCAAAAATCTAAAATACATTAAACATTCCTCTAGTGTAATTTTTATATTAAAGCAATTGCTCTTGTAACCACTGTGGTGCAGTAGGATTATGAACGTTGTTAAAAAGACATGTTGCAAAAACAAAGTCAGATAAATGAGTTAACCATTTCTCAGCATTCTCTGAATTTGTATTCCTTAACTAAAATACAGACTGAAAAAAAAAAAAAATTTGGTCCTTAAAACCACTTTGAAGTGTGGAA